TTTGACTGCTAACCAGAAGGCTGGCAGTTCAAACCCACCAGCCATTCCTCGGAAGGAAGGTTGGGCAATCCTTCTTTCGTAGTGATTGTTGTTGTTGTTGTTGTTATGTGCCGTCGAGTCGGCCCCGACTCATAGCGACCCCTCCTTGGGTTTCCGAGGCAGTATCACTACGGAAGTAGGATTGCCCAACCTTCCTTCCGAGGAGTGGCTGGTGGGTTTGAACCGCCAGCCTTCTGGTTAGCAGTCAAGTGCTTTAGCCACTATGCTACCAGAGCTCCTGCCTCGGAAACCCAAGGAGGGGTCGCTATGAGTTGGGGCCGACTCGACGGCACATAACAACAACAACAACAACAACAACAGAGTTCAAAAAGGATCCCTGGTGTTGCAATTGTTAAGTGCTCAGCTGTTAACCAAAAGATTTATGGTGGGGACCCACCAGCCACTCCACAGGAGAAAAGACTTGGTGATCTGCTCCCACATGAGGCAGTTCCACTCTGTCTTGCAGGGTTGCTGTGGATTGGAATCACTTGATGGCAGTGGGTAATAGAGTTAAGAAAATCTGAAGGGTATCCAAAGTAAATGAATAACTCATGAGGTTAGAGAAGACAGGCTTCCTAGAGAAGGTACTTGTTGAAGTCATCCTTCAAGGAAATACTACTCTGGTTTCCAAGAAGGAGGAGGATAGAAATTGGGAAATCAGGTTTGTTACCCAGGACTTTGAACTGGTTTGAACCAGTTTAGTCATGACCAATGCAGCAAAATTGGAATGGGCCTGAATTTGTAAAATGTGGGGTTATTGATAACTGGAATGGGAAAAATTATAGGTCAAAGTCCTAGAATGGGAGACTCAAAAGAGATATAATGAGACCTGCCAGGAGCCTGATATAGAGAGTGGATTATAGCTAGATCTGTAAAGAGTAGCACATTTAAAGTGGTACAGTCAGCTGCTGGGCGCTGTTGTTTCTGACTATGTTGTTCAAGAGATTTGGTTGCTATACAACATGCACAATGCCCTTGTTTTCTCAGAGGAAGATTAAGATTCTAGCAGGGTGCCAACCCATAATTTTTCCCATTCTGGTTATTCTAGTACATGCACATTTCACAAATTTGGGTCTGTTCTGGTGTTGCTTTCTTTGGCCATGACTGAACAGGGAAGAACCAGTTCAAAGCCCTGTTAACCCTGACAATCTGGTTTAGCTGGAAGGTGCAGTCTGGAAAGCCTCAGGGCAGAGGTTGAATGCCTATGGGGTGGCCACTAAATGGAGGGAATTGGGATTTATGGAAGAAACCATAGGGAATGGTAAACCTGTGAGTGCCTTGAAGGTAGAGGCTGGCTACAGTTGTTAGTACAGCTAACTGTAGTTAGCTGCCTTCAACTAGGCCCCTGACTTTTGGTGACCCCATGTATATAGCAGAATGAAACACTGCTCAGTCTTGTGCCAAACCTATACATAGTCAAAATTCCATATACAGTGGGTGAAAGGAAGGGTGGAAGGTTGGTTCTTGAAGGGTGGGGCTACCTAATAAGAAGCTGATTTGCGTAGCTGGGTATAGGATGGAGTGATATAAGAAAAAAAAAGTATTTCTAGAAGTTAGGTGAGAAGTGAGGTAATCTAGCCATTAGTGCCTACACAAGGATCACTGAAAATAGTAATCACAAACCCTATGTGTCTGATGCTGTTCTAAATGATTTATCAATATTAACTCATAATCATCACAATAGCTTTGTGAGGCAGATGTTATTATATCCTCATTTCACAGATGAGAAAATTGAGGGACAGAGTGAAGTAACTTGCCCAAGGTCAGCTATGTCAATGTGGATTGATCTGGCTCCAGAAGTAGAAAATAGAAGGGAGAGAGTGAAGGAAAGAAATGTTTATAACATGCAGTAGTTAGGAAAAAAACTTTCTTATATGACTTATGACTTTTCACAGACTTGTGACTTCATCCTTACTTCTTATCTCTGCTATCTGCCCCCCTCCCCCTTCATTGACTGCTTTGGCACCCTAGGTCCTGTAGTCTTGAGGGTAACATTAGTGGCCCTAAGTGTGATCCATTTGCAATGATAGCTGGGAAGTCTTTCACCTTCTTGACCCCTTTTACTTTCTCCCCACTTGCCCACCCATTCCCATGAGCACCTGTGGAAGTTTTCATGTCTGAGATCTGAACACTCAAACACCCTGCTGTCCGACCACAGGCTGCTGGCCTACCATTCAGTACCTTATCATCACACTTGTTCTTCAACTTCATTAAAACATCCAGTCTCTCGATCCCTACATTTTCCCTGTCTTTCAGCTCCTTGTGGCTTCTCAACCTTGTCTGTACAACCTGGATCATCTGAACTACTCTATCACCAGCATACCAGATTCCCTTATCCTTTGTCCTCCTGTGGCAGCTGCTCAGCAGAGCTACCATCCAGCAATGCCACCAGTCACCTCTGGCTTTTACCAAGGTTCCCAGAGCTGCTGGGGCAACAACCTGCAGGTGGGTGGCACCACAAATGCTTGACTTTTCACCTCAGCTGAGCCCTTACACAGCCTGTGATCTTTCTCTCCTAGACACTGCTCCCAAACATCACCTTCTTTCTTCTACTCTCTGAGAGTCCACTGTTTCCCCCCTGTGCTTTTGCCCCCATCTCATCTGGCACCGCGCTCCTTCTCTCTCTTGTGTTTCACCCTCTCTCTGTCCACAGATTCTTTCACGTGTCTGACTTTCACCTAACTCCCTTCTCTTCTTCCTGACTGGAAAGTGATCTCCCTCATCTGGATTTTTAGAAAGAGCTATGTTCTCTGCTTCTCCTTTCTTCTTCTTTCCACACCCTTTTGCCTTCTTGCCTTCCTAGCTATCTCTGCTGACCTTTACACCCCCCCCACACACACACCCTTTTTTTTTTTTTAATTTTTGATCTTCTTCAGCCTCTTGGGGCCCACCTGCTAAGAGTTTTCCTTGCATCTCTATCAAGTTTCAGTTTCTATCAAAGTTTTCTGTTCTGTTTGTCCTTCAAATGTAGTAATCAGAATGTAGTATTCAGTTCTCAGCTACCAATTTTTTTCATGGTATGTCTTAGTTTCCTAGGGCTCCCATAACAAAATACCACAAAACAAGTGGCTTTAAAGAACAGAAACTTATTTTCTCATAGTTCTGGACACTAGGAGTCCAAATCCTTACCTGTGTTAGTTCCTTCTGTGATCTTCTGACTTTTGGTGAATGCCAGCAACCCTTGATATTCCTTTGCTGCTTATTATGTATCTCCGTTTTCACATGGCATCTCCCCGTGTGTGTCTGACTCTCTGTGTCTGTATTCCTCTTTATAAGACACCACTCAGAGGGAGTTAGGTTTAGGATCCACCCTACTTTTGAATAAGCTCATTAAGATAACAGAAAGTTCCTATCTCCAAAAAGGATTACATTTATAGGTATAATGGTTAGGATTTAAACATATATTTGGGGTGGGGGGTACAGGTCAATCCATACCATGCTATGTGTTTAATTTTACCCATTTATTTTTTTCAACTCCCCTATTTATCCTGATGATTGTCAAATTTATATCTCCAGCTAAAGCCCTTAAGCTACCATCCAGGCATGTCACACTTTACATATTTACAGCTGAATTTTAAGCCTTCATTCACTAAATGTCCTGTTTCTGCTGTATTCTCCATTTTGGTCTTCTCACTGGTTTTGCTTCCTTAGTCCATCCTCTACATAGCTGCCAGAGAGCTTCCCAAAATGCAAACCTGACCAGGGTCACTCCCCTGACTGCTTCTCTGCACCTTCAGGTTAAGACCCACACTGCTGAACCTGGCATACAAAGTCTTCCATCATCTGTCCCCTGTCTACATCTGTTCCTGTTTCTTGCTTCTCCCTCCCTTGTCTGTGGTACTCTAGCAACTCTGTGTGCTTGTAGCTTCCCCGAGACCAGCCAGGGGGTTTCTTAAGCTTCCGTGTGTCTGTTACACTCACAGTGTTGCTTTTCCTGCTTTCCCACCTTCCTCGCTATCTCTTCTTCTTCTTCTAATTAATATTTTATTTTACTTTTGGTGAAAATATGCACAGCAAAACCCCTTCAGCAGTTTCTAGACAAAATGATTAGTGACATTGGTTACAGTCTTTACGTTGTCTCAGCATTTTTGTTATTTCTGTTGTAGTTGTTTCTCTCTTATTAGAGTCTGCTCCCTCAGCCTTCTCATCTGTGCTTTAAAATAGCTGTTGTTCATTTGGTTCTTATACAGATAGTTTTTTAAGTTACATACATACTTAAGGATGACAAGCTACTTTTTTGAGTTAAGCTATTACTTAGTTGAAAGTTGTTTTTATTGCTCACATTTGCCCTCACTTCCTTTAAGGTATTCTTCCTCTGTGTATATGCATATAACAGATTAGCTTTACTCTTAGTATGTTAGGTCCATGTACAGTGTCTGACTCCTCTTTATATCCACAGCATTGAGCACATAAATGTTTATGGAATGGGTGGTTTTTGTATGGATGAAGGAGTGACCAGTGCAGCTTCTGACAGTCATCTTAGTCATTTGACATTGAAATAAAAATATCTAATGGTTATTGTAGGAGCTCTGGTAGCATAGTGCCTAAGGGACTTGACTGCTAACCAAAAGGCTGGCGGTTCAAACCCACTACTCACTCCTCGGAAGGAAAGTTGGGCAATCCTACTTCTGTAGTGATACTGCCTTGGAAACCCAAGGAGGGGTCGCTATGAGTCGGGGCTGACTCGACGGCACATAACAACAACAACAATGGTTATTGTAGTCTGCCTAGTTTATGCTTCATGTTTGGAAGGGAGAACAGAATTGTATAAAGAGTATATGTAACAGGTGGTAGACATGTATGAAGTTTTGAATGTTTTCAATATTTTATCTAAGGAGAGAAATGGTGAGAGCTAAAAGCATTGACATTGATGCTGTTTTGACTGAAGGTATCACCAAGATTTCTGACTTCATTTCATACTTGGCTGTCCTTCTCAGGCACCCACTTTTTCTCTGTTTCAGTGAAGCGCTATATCCGGAAAGGTGTTCCGCTTGAGCACCGGGCACGCGTCTGGATGGTGGTGAGTGGAGCTCAGGCCCAGATGGAACAGAATCCTGGCTATTACCACAAGCTTCTCGAGGGAGAGAGAAATGACAGCCTAGAGGAAGCCATCCGCACAGGTGGTAACTGTTACTTGTCCCCTGGTAAATACAGTGTAATAGAAAGAAGTGGGTCAGGCAGCAGCTTCTCAAGGAAGGAATTGTGTCTGCACCCACTTTTTAATGTTGTGATATTGGTGAGGAAACTTACATTGTTAAAGATACATCAACAGATTTCAATTTGGAATTTTATTTTCTCATAGGAAGATAAAAACTTGAGTGTTCACTAGGGGAAAGTATTATTTTCAGATAATTCAGCAAGTATTTGAGCACTTAGCTAGCTCATAAAGCAAATGGTATTAAAAGACCACATTTCTTCCAGGGAACAATGCTCAGGAGAGTGAAGAGGCAGTCGAATGAACAGTCTTAGTAACTGGTTGCTGTTGTTTTGACTCCAGCTCATGGTGACCCCATGCGTGTCAGAGTAGAACTGCGCTCTGTAGGGTTTTCAATGGCTGGCTTTTCAGAAGTAGATTGCTAAGCCTTTCTTCCAAAGTGCCTCTGAGTGCACTTTAACCTACAACCTTTCTGTTAGCAGCTGAGCACTTTAACCATTTGTACTACCAAGGGGCTCTGTAAGCAATGGTAATACAGTAGGATAATTGCCATGAATGGTTTGTACCTAAAATTGTATATGTAGATTTACAGATATAGCCACGTATGTAACATGAAACAATGTACAATTGTCTTTTTTGGGAATCAACTTTATGGGTGTCCAGTTATAATAATTTTCTAGGGAAGCTGATAGGAGCTCTGGTAGCATAGTGCCAAAGGCACTTGACTGCTACCCAGAGGCTGGCAGTTCAAACCCACCAGCTACTCCTTGGAAAGAAGGTTGGGCAATCTACTTCCGTAGTGATACTGCCTTGGAAACCCAAGGAGGGGTTGCTATGAGTCAGGTCTGACTCGACAACTTGTAACAACAACAACAACAGGGAAGCTGATATTTTTGGCCTATAGCTTCTTTATTCTCCAATATTCTCAGCAGTCACATAGGTATAAGGTTGTTGTCTCTGAAAACTTCAAAGTGTTCCAAATAAAGTATAACCTACGTTAAATACTTAGATTTTAAGGAAATACAGATGGCTTTCTGACTTTAACAGTTTTTGAGAAATACAGATTTTAATACAAAATTAATTTTAAATAATACTTTAAAGTGCTGAGAGGTTGGAATGACTTGTGATAATGAGGAAGTAGGTGTCTCCAACATGAGGAATGACCATCCTTCAGCCCTTGCTGGTAGGCTTGGCTCCTACCCTACTGGGGGGCTCTCATACCACAGGGTTGAAGCCACTAGAAAAGGGATTTCCCAGTAGAGGATTTGCAGTAGAGCTGGGGGGCTACTTCCAGTGTGGGAGGCAGATTGTTGCTTCCTGAGCATTGTAGAGGAAAATATGGCCAAAGGTCATAGGACAGAAGCCTGACTGTTCATCACTCAGCATGGCCAGAAATGCTCATTCAGATTTGGAAGAAGAGAGTTTAGATTTAAGGCAAGCTGAGCATTTAAATAAAATAGAATAATAATAACCAGCTGCTGTGGTCAAAGCCAACTCCTGGCAACACCACCATGCTGGTCAGAGGAGAACTGCTCCATAGGGTTTCCAGTGGCTGGTTTTTTAGAAGTAGATCACCAGGCCTTTCTTCTCAGGTGCCCCTGGGTGGACTTGAACCACTCACGTTTTGGTTAGCAACTAAGCGTATTAACCGTTTGTACCACCTGGGGACTCCAGGATACTGATACTCATTTGAAAAATGAATTTAAAAACTCTGTTTAGTTCTCAGCACTTTCGGATAAATTGTTTTACAGGGACAGTATATTGGGTCCTTCATTCTCACAATGCCAATATTGTGTTATATTGTGACTAAAAATCCCTGCCCATGTCTGCCTCTAAATAGAGAGAAAGAACATTTCTGTTTCCTGTGGAAAAATTTCAAAACAAATTGGGAAAACTTTTCATATTAAAAAATATTACGTAGTAATGAGCACAGCTTGTCATTCTAGTTTGAAATAGTAAAAACATTCTCATTTCCCCTTGACCTATTCAATTTTTTGGAATACCTGGAATTCCAGGAAAAAAAAAAAAAAGTTCTCTTCTGTGAAAAACACGGTAAGTATAATGTGTTTTAAGGCATTAAGCATAATATTTTGTCCAGATACAGTTGTTTTTTTTTTTTTTTTTTAAATAAAGATAAGGCAGGGTGGGAGACAAAGGTTGGCAATAGAACTACTGTTAGAGCAGTTATGTAGACCTCAGTGCAAAAATAGCGGCTTGATTTCCTTAGGCACAAGTGGAGAAAATGTGCATGGTTTCATCTTGTAGCATTGCTGCTGGAAAAATTCATGGTATGTGCCCTATCTTGATATATATCTGTATGTATATTCAATTCATATTGAAAGTATTCCAATCCATATTGGTAATCATACATAGTATACAGTAGTAAACACAAGTATTCTAATCCAACTAGGGTCACTGTTGTTGTGTGCCATGGAGTCAAACCTGACTCACAGTGACCCCTCCTTGGGTTTCCAAGGTGGTATCACTACAGGAGTAGATTGCCCAGCCTTCCTTCTGAGGAGTGGCTGGTGGGTTTGAACCGCCAGCCTTCTGGTTAGCAGTCAAATAAATGCCTTAGGCACTATGCTACCAGAGCTCCTCTAGGATCACTAGAATCAGGAAAAAAAAATGCATCTCAGTTAATGTATATACTCTTTCTTCTACCTAGCTGCAAGATTAACATGTAACCATCAACTTTAAAAATTCATAAAGTAAGTTCAGTGCAAGGGCATAGTTTTATCTTGGTGAACTATTAAAGCAACTATTAAAACTTTTGGTATAGAGTGGCTTGGCCAGAGGGAAAATAACATGATCAGAGCTACTGCTGACAGGCTTGAGAGCCTGAGTACCCAGTATCATGATAAACAGGAAGAGGATGAGGGAGAGAAACCCTCCTGTACACAAAGTCAGCAATGCTGAGCTCATTTAGTCCTGAGGATTCAGTTTTGTCTGTTTATTCTGAAAGGGAATATTGGTGTGTTCTAATTCTTTCTTTCTTGGACCTTTGCAGTCATGAGAAATTTCCAAAGTTTTATGTAAAATATTTTTCAAATATTTTTCATCATTCTAGAGTTGAGGATCTTCCTTAGCTCAGAGTTCTTTCAGGAAGAGGGGGAGGCGTGAGAGCAGAGGTGTGTCTGGGTCCATGGAGTTGGGAGGAAAGTGAGGAAAATGTGGGTCCAGAAAGAGGTGGGTGGGTTGGAGGAGTTGAGGTGTCTCTGGCTTAGCATCTTACTCCCTTGGTGGAGAAGGACCTCTAGCAATCTCAAAGCCCTCAGCTCTGAAAAACCCATCTGCCATCACTGACTTTGAGAAAAAGGACTGTTAGGACCCAATGTCTATTCTTTCAGGGTATAACCAGAAGCAGGGCATGTGGGAATCCAAGGAATACCCTTCTCATTTCCTTTTTTTTTTTTTTATTAGGATTTGGGTGAAGATTTACAGAGTAAATTCACTTTTCATACAGCAGTTCACATATACTTTGT